TTTACGTGACACTGAGGATGGTCGATTACGAGAGGTTTATAAGAGAACACCTCTAAGCGACCACCTTTACGTGACACTGAGGATGGTCGATTACGCGAGAGGTTTATAAGACGAAACCTTCTGTAAGCGACCACCTTTACATGACACAAGGATGGTCGATTACGAAAGGTTTATAAGAGAATATCTGTAAGCGACCACCTTTACATGACACCAAGGATGGTCGATTACGAGAGGTTTATAAGAATTTCAGGGGAAAAAAATTAAAACTTCATTAACTTTTAAAGGAACGCGTTTCCTTAAATTTTTTAGTAATTTTTACCGAAAAACAAAAAAATCGTAGAGTTCTAGAAATTTACTATGTAAAAGTATTTTTACTATTTTTGATTTTGGCAGGATTTTTCGAAGTATAARTGCTCGAGTTTTTATTTAATCAATTTTTTTTAGTTTATTAAATATATTGTGTAACTTCAAGAGTGTTTCTTACTCACGGTGTCGACACAAACCATCAAATATTTATAACTTTTGTGGTTTATCAACCAAAATAAATGGGCTGAATTCCTCCTATGAAAGAAACGATTCAAAAACAAAAGAATTTGATATGACGAATGACTCATTTCAACACTGATAATGTCTAGAATCACGATTATCGACGTAAAACTCTTTCTCTTTAGATTTATTCCTCTTAAACGTAGAAACATGGCAACTCTTAAGGAGTTTCAAGCCGGGACAACGCTGAACGTGAAGGAATGATATCTAATAGGATTCCAGTTTGTTATTTACAACGAATGTCGAAAAATTTACGATCATGAATATCTCTGCCAAACTCCAAGTTCTACAAGCTTTATTTGGGTAGGTAAAATATCATTTTTCTCTTAGATTACTTCAAACTTTCAAGATATAGACACTCGGGAGAATGAATTCCAGATTCAAATAAACATTTGTAAATGCAAGTTCGTGCGAACAGCTCGCTTATTTTTCGAAATATTATTCAGAATTGGACGCCACAAACTCTAAATATTTTTGCCGTACGAATCTATCGTTAATTGTCAACATATATTTTCTTTACCAAGTTATGCTTAGGGAAAGATAATTACGTTTGAGAGGGGTTTGATTTTTCAGTCAAGGGCCGTAGCGACCACATAGTATCAGCTCAAAGTTTCAATTCTCCATGGAGAATCGTTTAAATTGCATTTATTTTTTATATATTTTTGTTATTGAATTCAAACTTCAACCGGCCAATGTTTCGTTTATTTATTTCGTACGTAAAAAATTCATATTTTACGACTGGAGGAAAATATTAATATAACAACATATTAGCAGAAAAACAAATAAAAAATGTACCCAAAAAATTTTCCTTATCTTTTATCAAAATTTTAAAATAAAAGTTGAGTTGTCGATAATACATTTAGGACACCTTAAGAAATCATAAAAATAAAAACTGTATTCCGTAATGTAGCAAACGTTCTAACAACATTTTTAAAGATAAAAGCTTTGGGAATCTTCGTAGCTATACTCCATTACAAGTTTCATTTAGATAATTCGCTCCCTGACTTACACATTGCCGCACTTATTCATTCATTCATCCATTCATTTTTCTTTCTTTATTTCCTTGCTCTTTCGTTCGTTCGTTCCTTAAATCTTTCTTTCTTTACTGAGTTTTCCATACTTCATCTCTTCCTCCCGGTCCATCGCACTTTCTTCCTATCCGTTCTTTCAATTATATCTTCCATTTTTTCTTTCATTTTAAAGACTGATGTCTTTAAATCTAGAGTAGTAAGTAGTTTCTAACGAGAAAGTATCTCATGGCTATTATGTTGCAAAGTGGACTAACCTACCTGGCCTCTCTGCAGCACACAAGAATTAGTCCCAGGCACACTTTTTCACTGAGTACTTGATGGCCAATGAACGAGCATTGTTTTCCTAGATGACACTTTTCTTCTTCTGTAACTAGTATAAACTAATTCAACTTGATAGGGTAATTCTACTTAACCCGTAAAGAAATTACATGTTAGACTAACGTCAGAAGTCTACTAACTATTTCATGGGTTAAGCAAAACAGGATTTTCCTGAAGGCATGTTAAAATTGGGTTGAGTTAGCATTGCAGTGCATTGTGGGACCGTTCGAGGGACGGAATAGACGCAATCTTGAAAATATGTTCTCTAAGGCCGTGGCTAAACGAGGAAACGTGTATCCAGAAACATCTTTACCGCGCGCATGTTTCCTCGATGTTTCCCAGTTTAGCCACATGCGAAACATTGCTGCGTGCAACAAATTTTGCTTCCAAGACGCAAAAAATGTTTTTGCTGTGCGGCAGAAACATTTCATGTTTCCAAGACGCATGGAAACATTGTTTCCCGATGTTTCCTGACAGTTTTGCCACCTTAGGAAACATGTTTCTGTAAACATGATTCCTCGTTTAGCCAGGGACTTAAACGGTCCCACGATGCACTGCAATACCAAATTGATCCCATTTTTACCTCAACCTCGTTAATGACTGATGAATGATACATTCTTATCTCACCGATTCCATTAGCCACCTATAATACACCTTACAAAATTACTCGATTCTGATTGGACAAGAGGAGTACAATTAAATTCCAAATTGGACTCTGTAGAGTCCCAATTAAGTTGCTCAATTTTTTTGAGTGTATTATAAACAAAAAATCGCACAATCTTCTCTTACAATTCGGAATTTATAGATACTGGTGATGTTTTGAAAGTTCTCAAATTGAACTCGCCTAAAAGTTCCCTCCAATTTTGAAAATTTTCAAAACAGCACTTGTACCTATAAATTCCGAATTGTACTCGAGATCGTTCGATTTCCCATACAAACCACGCGTCAAGTGGACGAATTTTGTACATTGAGATCGTCCAAGTATCGGCAATAGACTTACTCACCTACTTATCACATATGAGTAGAGATTGCCAGGTCTCTCCCTCGACTTCAGGGGTTTTTCTCCAGGTTCTTCAGTTTTTCTCTCTACGCAGAACCCAAARCGTTAAATTTCAATTCGCCTGTGAGTTAGCAATATCCTAACTTTGGTCTGCCCAAAGGTTGTTTCGGGGCATCGATTAGAAAGTTTTTTCTTCAATTAAATTTGTAAGTATTTTGCCTTTCAAATAGAGCGTTTTTCGTATGAGTGGCAAACGTAAGATACTGACTTACAGCATGTATACACTGTACGACATGCCGTAACATTGACATGGCTTCCCATAAGGATGGTTATCGTATGAGTGGGAAACGTACGGTATTGACTTACAATACATACACGGTACGACATGACGTAACATTGAAATGGCTTCCCATAAGGATGGTTCATCGCATAAGTGGGAAACGTACGGTAATGACTTACAGTACACACACGGTACGACATGCCGTAACACTGAAATGGTTTCCCATAAGGATGGTTATTGTATAAGTGGGAAACATAAGGTACTGACCTACAGCACATATACGGTACGACATGCCGTAGCATTGAAACGGCTTTTCATTGTCTTCCAGCAATAGACAGCTGGCAAGACGTAGTGGCAGCTAATTTGCCCTATCGTCTCCCACTCATTCAAAAACCGCCCTAAATAAATCAATGCGGTCAAAGAGCACCAACAAAAACCCACGTAGGGAAGAAAATAAATTATATTAATTAATTAAGAGATTTATCTCAGAATTTTAATCCAAGCGATCTGATAAGGTCGTTTATCGAACAAGGTTATTGAAGGTCATTCCGTGGTTCGTCTCTGCGTCTCATCTTTGGGTTTCCTGTGCTTTCGCCACAGGCAACCCAAGCCAAGAACAACTTAATGGGATTGTCAAATTCTCTCAAAACAATATTTTTCATCTCGTGTGATAGAATTCTAAATTTCATATTATTCTCTTTTCTCGTTACTGTCCTGGTGTTTTCAACGCCATGCCATTTATATTTTCAAATCATTAAAGTTTAATGATGATAATAAGATGAATCTCAACTTCGTACAATACGCTCCCAGCTCGGAGGGCATTAGCATAGAGCCCTCCATTTTTTAAGTGGGCAATCGAAACGCTACTTTAATTGCATCAAAAGCTTTCGTTTTAGAACGGGTCTGAGCAAGAATCCACGAAAGCCATTTGTACCTGCAAAAAGAAAAACAAAAGAGGGACAAGTGTGTATACTTTTAAACTTGACAGATCTTGAAGACTAGTCAGTGTCATTTCGAGTATAAAAATCTATCTTTGTTCCAGGAAAATTTCTTTGTAAAAGTCATGCATATTTCCAGTGGTATGAATGGGTCTAAAATTTACAACCGTGATAAAAAGCAAGACAGTTTTTTCTCCATGAGAAACAAGGTTTCATTTGGCTTCAGAAAAGGTGTGAAGTGCATGAGCTTAGTGCCAGCCGCGCGAGTGTTGATCTCATAACAGGTTACAAGCCTATTCACTCCCAAAAGTCATAAACAAAACCACTGCAAATTCAAAAACCAACGACTTAATATTATGGTCAATTGCCTGAAGAAATTTTTTTTAAATTTTCTTTTTTAAAGAATCAGGAAGAAAACGAATCGAGTCTTGATCGACTTAGGTCGCGAAAATTTGTCTCGTCCAAACTCGAGTAAAACTCTTCAGTTGTGAGAGTTTTGTTGYTGAAAAAGACGCTATAGGATTAGCTGATCAATAGTGGTACCCTTAACACATCGACCGAAATGGCATCACCCCAAAAACCACACCCTAAAAGTGTACCCCTGTCAAAGTTCAGGTGTCCGAATTACGTCACTCTCCTAAAAGAGGCATTAGCTGGTGGACGATACGCAGGCGCTGTGTGCTTCTCCGTGACTAAGAATGGAAGCAATACAAACACAGGCTGAGAAAAAACCTTAAAATGCCGGTGAAAAAACATTTGGAAACCTAGCTTTTAAACTAAAAGCTAGAAAACATGTCTAGCTTAGTCAAGAATCAAATTGCTAAGCAGTTAGCAAGGTAAAAATGGAGAAATTTCAGTGATAATGCAACGACAAATGGCTATTACACCTTGATTCTTGAAGAAAATCTTGAAGTTTTGGTTGAGTTTGATTCCAAATTTTCCTTTTTTAACAGGTTTACGAAGAACTTCTCGCCGAATAAAATCAGTGTGAAGTTTCTCAAGGGTGAAGGAGAGTTACACAACTTGGAGCTCGATGAAAAAATCATCTCAGATTTATTAGAATTGCCTCCGTGGCTTCGTATCACAAAGGCTGTCTGCAACAAGATTTCCGCGAAGGTAACCCTTCAGTTCACCCTCAAGTAAAACCATTTTGAAATCTTTATTACGTTTGACAATCCTTACTAAGGGAGTTCACGATCTCTTGAGTCTAACCTCTTGATATTTTCTTATTATTTTTAATATTTCGTGGTTTAAGATTCGAGTTTCAACGTCGCGTCGACTTGTTTTGGTTTCTGTCAAAGCTCACGTTGCTTCTCCCATTAAGAATTAGTTAACGAGAATTCAAGTTATATATCCCCTCAATAATAGTGTTTTTATTATCTGCCGATCCTAGATATCTTTGTTTTACCAACTATATTACCTTAGGAAACATTAAACTTAAGATCCAGTTAAAAATTCTCAGGATGTTTGGACAAAATTATAAGGATTTTGAGTGACAATATTTAGTTTCAGTTCAGTGTAAAAGAATGACTCAAGGTTTTTCACTCTTAATTTATTCCTCTCTCGTAATTAAAGAAACTAGAATTTACAAGTTCTTATCTTATGAGTTATAATCTTGTCAGTGAACACAAACCAAACGCCCTTTTTTATGGCTAGTTTTCTGTTGTTTTTTTCCCTCAATAGAATTAAGTCGAACTCGACTAGACTACAAGCCATTTGGGACAAAACCTAAATCATTCAAGAACAAAAGATTTTGAATAATCATTATGAATGATTGCTCTTGCGATTTGAAAACCTTTCTCTTCATTATTCAACCGCGATCAGTTATGGAATATTTATTTAATAAGCACTTACGTTTATATATATTTGTAAAATGTATACATTACATTCTTTGGGCTTAGGCATTTGATGGAAAATCTCATCTACAAATTCAGTAGAGACTGTAGGTTTTTAACTTTTTACCTCGTATGAGCTTTTGTTAATATTATTTAGATCATGCTTGAATAAGCATATTGAATTAATAATGGAAAATCCCTTCAAATATGAATGAAAGCTTATCAATAATATTCACTTTGAACAGAAGTGGATAGTGAAATTTAAAACACCCTATTCCATTATTTCATTTTTCTAAAATTCTAACCATGTAGATTATTAGAGTAACAGCCTCTGGGCTGATCTAAGTCAGGGCATATGCTCTGACTTAGATCAGCCCAGAGGCTGTTACTCTAATAATCTACATGGTTAGAATGGCTAACTCACAGATCAAACCCTGAAACAACTTCTGGGCTGATCTAAGTCAGGGCATGGCTAACTCACAGAACCAACCCTTATGGAATTTCCAAAAGGATTACTTGATGAAGATTTTTTTCCAGAGTAACTCAGTGCCCATTGAGTAGCAGGTGGCTAGAGGCAACTTGTCATCAAGCACACTGTTTATGTCAAAAATACTGTACGTATTACTTTCCTAGCTAATCAAGGGTTTTCTTGCACCATTTTGATAGTAAAGGCAGCAACTTCCCCTTAGGTATCTTAAGACCCTGAGTGTTGGTCCAGCCAGAACTTGAACCACAAACTCCTGGAAAACAGACCGACACTCTTACCAATTAAGCTAATGGTGTAGCATTATCAGATGCTTAGCCGTGAGCTAATACACTCATAGGCCCACCTGGATACCAGCTTTTGGCTGAATGGGCTACCCTGTTTAAATAAAGGTTCTATTATAACCGTAACCATAACTTACTGTATGCTTATTTTTTGTTTATAGATTCACTGGACTAAGCTCAAGACAGATCCAATATGCCTGGTAAGGTTGAAGATGGATCAATTGATCATCAATATTATCAACTGTAATGTTATTAATGGACACTTCTTAAAAATAAATTGTCTTAAATGTGAGGGTAACTTGGAAATACAAAAGAAATGCCTCAAATCTCATTGAGAAAAGCTGTGATTTTTTTTCCGTATTATTACATTAGCCTTGCAATAAAGACAATATTGTATAGAACGGTCTGAACCCTGGTGAATGAATGTTAATCGAAGTATTATGATCATCCGGTTGGATGTAGTCCTGAGAAGGCAGTATAAATATGACCAATCTGACTTTTATTCTTCACTTGACTCTGAAGATGACTTCCGTTCAGGTTGTCGAAACGTCACTCACATCAAACAGTCCTTCTCAGGACTACGTCCACCCGGATGATCATAATACTTCGATTAACAATAAAGACAATGTTGAAAAGAGTCCATTATGACTTTGGGGAAGTATTTATAAGGTGAAATTACTGTAGGTCTAATACTACTATAAGACAAATAGCTGTCCTTAACCTGAGAGAAATCAAGCAACTCACTGCATAATGATTGAAACTGTCATACCAACTTATTACCCCATGTAACCACGACAACTAAATTCTTTAATGACTTAGTAACAAACTGTACATTCAATAAAAGTTTGAATGGTATTGGTTGGCAATCAATCTATGACTAACGTCCTCTGCAACAACAATAATAATAATAATATTAATAATGGTAATAATAAATAATAATAATTACACAACCTAAGAAAGAAATAACAGCAATACTGCTAAACTGTAACAAAGCCTAGGTTCGTCCCACTTGTTATTGTAAATTGAAATGACAGAAAGAAAAAAAGATGCCATAGTAATAATAATGATAATAATGATAATAATAATAATAATAATAATGATAATAATATTAATAATAATGATAATAATAGAGTGCAAACAATATAACCGTGAAACTTTAGTAATACTAAATAGCACAATTTTATGCAAATTCCATTGTTTTCTATTGTCGAAGCACTATTTTGCACTATTTAGTAATTAGTGTTTCACGGATTAATTGTTTGCACTCTAATAATAATAATGATGATAATAATAATAATAATAGTATTAATAATAATAAATAGGAATTAACAGTGGACTCCACAGAGTGGCTGTTCTTCCACCGTCACACCTTCAGTCAATCTGTCGTTCTTTCATTCCTCAACTTGTTTACTTATTGCTTTGTTTGTTTACTTTTTTACTTGTTTTAGTCTGTTAATCTGTCTCTCACTATTCCTATTTTCATCCATCCATCCATCCATCCATCCATCCATTCAATAATTTTGATAATTGACCATTATTATCTTACAGTACTTAGACTGTGTAGAGATTGACATGGAAGAAGTAATCCTGACCCACACAAATTCAACTTCCATCCCACCACGCACTCCTCTTCCTCCGCCTCCACCAACCAAGGAGAAGCAGCCCAACCGCTACGGATTTGTTGAGAAAGTCGTAGATGGAATGTTCGTCCAAATGAACTCAGTCAACATATCATTCAAGTCGTTACAATTCCAGGCAAGCGTCCAGATATCTCGTCTCATAATTCAAAGTACAACACCAGAATGGAAGCCGGATGATCTGCGGAATACTCGCATTAAGGATGAAGGGAGAGGAGAGGTGTTGACATTTAAGGAAATTCATTGGTCAACTTTGAGGATTGATGCTAATGCGATAGTACCTGTAAGTACCTTATAAATATATCATATTGAGAGTAAAATAATTACATAAGAAACACCACCCCTCACTCGCCTATTCTCTCTTATTAGATATTATTATTATTATTTTGATCAAACAAGATCATGTTATATATTTAGTGTTAGCACTTTGAACATTTTACTTACAGTTAATTAATAATAATAATATATTAATGTTAATTATTAATTATTATTATTATTATTAGTTAATTAATAATAATGATAATTACTCAAAATTAACATGAAGATGGAGTCAAGATGACCCTGAAACGTTGTTCTTTAAGGTGGCTGCCTACTTTTGAACGTTCGAATTGAGCTCACGATGAGCGCGCGCTCAAAAACCGCTGAAAAATCTACAAGATTTTATTGAAGAACCATACGCGTTTTGAGCTTCAACGGGGCAAAACCCTCAAATTTTGCACGGGACTCTATATTTTTTGATAGCTCATTCGAAAAAACTCCTAAAAATCTAGGTTATATCAACATTTTAGGAAAAGTTTAAATCAGGAACACGTGAAAAAATAGATTTTTGTAGGGATTTTTGTTCGACTTTATGAGATTTTTCAAGAGCACCGAAACTACAAAATATGACAAATCAATGTATCTCTCTGTCTTTTTGTCGAAAATATCCATGTATTATTGTAGAAGGATTGACTAGCCTTCGTTCGTGCAATCATATAGTCTGCAAATAACTCTTATCTTATGAATCTTAATTTTTTTCTAATCACTTCCGGTAGCGCAAGTTTTACTCCAAAAGCTCTTGCGTAGGCTCCCATTAAATGCTGATTATCTCGAAAACAAGCTCGGGATACCCTATTTTTCTTTCCAGATTTGGAATCAGCATTAAATTTCAATTCGGAAAATCAAAGTTTTAAAAAAAGCTTAAATCAATTTCCAAAAGTAGGCAGTCACCTTAATCTCCCTTATATTTCTTGTAAAATTACTATTATTAATGATAATCATTGTTGTTGTTGTTTGTTGTTGTTCAAAAACATAGAACATAGAAACTGAGACCAAAATGTTACATGGAAAGTACATAAGTAATAATTCCTTATTACAGGGGCAGATCCAGGATTTTGTTTAGGGAGGGGTGCTGTGCACAAAGTTAACCCAGGGAGGGGTGCACCCCTTAGAATCAAAGGGAAAAACAGTATTGGTTATCTTTGAAGTAGGGGCACAAAGTGGAACCAGGGAGGGGTGCGCACCCCCTGCACCCCTCCCCTGGATCAGCCCCTGTATTAGATGTATCTAGTGATGCAGCACCTGGAATATTCATATAAAATTGCACTGACGGAAAGCATGGAGGCAGTTTTTAACACTTGTTTCATAATTGGCTGTGTTATTTCAAATGAATACATCAGAGGATAACTGTGTCATTTCGCTGAATACCTTTCATTCTCAGCTTCTATGTTCTATGTTTTCAACAAGTCCTTTTCGACACAACAATGATTTTACAATTATTATTGAGTGTACATACATAACTCTCCACTAACCTAAAAAATTTTTGGTTTTTACTTGACATAGGAAAACTGCAAAGAAAAATCTTCACCAATCAGACTAATCACTAGTCAATCAGCACTTCATATAACCATCAAAAAGAAGCTTGAAGATTGTTCTGTAGTATCAGCGCATCTAGAGCTATTACTCGATGACATATTATGGGTACTGAGTCAATCACAACTCCAAGCTTTAGTAACTTTTATGAATTCAATAAATAAAGCTATTGAAAAATCGGGAGCAAAGAAAGAACCGACACCCAATGGAGTGACACCCGGACAGACCACCCAGCAACAGGCGCCACTGCAATATACCTCCTCAAATCTACAGAATAATCCTGACTCAGACCAAGGCTCTGATTTCTCAAAGCATGATCTACTTGAAACGTCATATCACTTGCGAACTGGACAAATTGATTTACATCTATGCGACGACTCAAATGAAAAGGACAAGGAAAATGGTACCGACTCCCTGGCGGGCGGGGCCATGCAGATACATATCAATAAACTAGCAATTGATAATTATCCGTATCACTTAGCAGGGACGTCTAGGACTAAATGGGTGTGCCATAATGAGGCATCACTTACTCGTGCATACTGGGTTAACCAGTTACTTAATACATTTAGGAATAATGTTAAGAGTAGGAAGGTGCCAACGCCAGATGGGATGGCGACGAGGCCCACAAGAAGTAAAGCTGAGGTGAGTTTAATTATTTGATTAGGCCAAACAAAAAAATAAGTGTGTTTCTCGTTGCATGAGAAAAATAATTGGGGTCAGTAGGTTCGTTCTTTTTTTCTTTTTACTGATACAACAGTGGAAATGAGCTTACTGGGAACCCTGTGGTGCATTTGGGAAAAAAATATTAGGATCGGCAAAAATTGGCAAGAAAATTAGGGTTAGTTGCTCAACAGGAAACACTTATTTTTTTGTTTGGCCTTATAACAAAACTGATAACTTGTAGGATTTCACATGGTTTGATGCTGTAGTTATGTGGGGTTTTTTTTCATGTTTTTGACTCAACAATACATGTGAGTAAAGTTTAGTATGTTTCTCCCTCGATTTGAGGGTTCCCCAGGTTTTTTGTTTTTCCTCCCTCTGTACAACCGTATGCTAAATTCCAATTTGATCTGTGGGTTAGCTGTGCCCTGACTTAGAACAGCCCAGAGGTTGCTTCAGGATTCGATCTGTGAGTTAGCCATGCCTTGACTTAGATCAGCCCAGAGGTTGTTTCAGGGTTCTATCTGTGAGTTAGTCATGCCCTGACTTAGATCAGCACAGAGGTTGTTTTAAGGTTCTATCTGTGAGTTAGCCATGCCCTGACTTAGATCAGCCCAGAGATTGTTTCAGGGAAGATTCTGACTTGACAAAATTTGAAGGAATTTATAAAAGCTTTATTTCCACTTATGAGTTTTATTGTTTACCTAAAACTTGGTGTTTATATTTTTCAGGGAACATCCAGTACAGATAGCCCTTCACCACCAGCCCCTGCACGCCACCATCCTCCACCACCTTCTCCTAACCCATCCCACAGGTCTACCCCACCCAGCCCACAACACCAACGTATCGGACAGACACAAAGTCAGCGCCGCCCAGTGTTCATGTACGAAAACTGTTATTTGGTTCGATGTGAAGAGTTTTCAATCATGCCTGTCACGACGTACAATGCACCTGATGAGGGTGTTGCATTCTTGTCGTCTGATAAGAAGGCTCTTTATCTACCCAGTGATATGCCAGCTTTCCAGGTTGATTATACTCAGTACTATTACCCCACTGGCATAACATCACCAGGTACTACTTCTTATTTGAGTATTTTGTCTATCTGCCTGTCAAGCTGCTTGTCTGTCAGCCTGTCAGCCTGCCAAGCTTCTTGTCTGTCTGTCTGTCTGTCTGTCAGTCAGTCAAGCCACTTGTTTGTCTGTCTGTCTGCCTGTCAAGCTGCTTGTTTTTGTCTGTCTGTCTGCCTGTCAGCTGTCAAGCTTCTTGTCTGTCTGTCTGTCAGTCGGTCAAGCTACTTGTTTGTCTGTCTGTCTGCCTGTCAAGCTACTTGTTTGTCTGTCTGTCTGCCTGTCAAGCTGCTTGTTTCTGTCTGTCTGTCTGCCTGTGAGGCTGTCTGCTTGTTTGTTTGCTAACCTGCTTGTCTATCTTTCTATCTATCAGTCCATCCCAGTGACCATAGGATTTTCTCAGTGACTAACACTGTGTTTCTTGCTTAACTAAAGAAATAACTGTCTGGCTGACCTGACACAGTCTGTCCGTCTGTCTGTCTGTCTGCCTGTGAGGCTGTCTGCTTGTCTGTTTGCCAACCTGCTTGTCCGTCTTTCTATCTATCAGTCCATCCCAGTGACCATAGGATTTTCTCAGTGACTAACACTCTGTGTTTCTTGCTTAACTAAAGAAATAACTGTCTGGCTGACCTGACACAGTCTGTCCATCAGTCTGTCTGTCCATCAGTCTGTCTGTCTGTCTACTTGTTCGTTTGTCACCTTTTTCATTAACTTCAATGTATTGTGAACCAGTTTTTCTTGATTTCTAGTTCCAACTCCAAACCTGTTTGTCCAGTTGAACCCAGTACAGCTAACACTGGATACAACCACATGTATCTGGTTTAACCGGTTTCTTAGGACTATTTTCAGTGTTGGGGTAAGTTTTGCTTCATTCGTCTGCCTTATTGAATAGCCCTTTTCCTAAAAGAGTAGCACTTATTAGCCAATGGCTAACAATTGAGTTACAATAGACCTCTGTAAAGAATAAATTCCATTCCAGAGCACGTGTCATTCCCTAGAGTATTATTTCTTTGTTTAACGGTTGTACACGAGAAGACACATGAATATGGATACACAACTCAAACAAAGAAACTTATTCTCAAGACCATGTGTCATTCCCTAGAGTATCATTTCTTTGTTTAACGGTTGTACACGAGAAGACACATGAATATGGATACACAACTCAAACAAAGAAACTTATTCTCAAGACCATGTGTCATTCCCTAGAGTATCATTTCTTTGTTTAACGGTTGCACATGAGAAGACACATAAATATACAGTCAATTCAAAAAACGTTGTCGTCGACCGGCTCAAGCCTACGCGACTGGACCGAAAGGAATATGGGTAAAAATCACTGAAGCGGTTAAATATTCGTTCTGAATTAATTGTTCCCGCTAGTAATAATATAATAATGGCCAGAAACAATCCATCAAATGCATGCATTTGGGTTTAGGGAAAGGAAAACAAAGCAGTTATGATTCAGTTCACAGTTTCGAAAATATGAAGGCATTAAAAAAAAGTCTCCTTCGACACTTCCCGCTCGCCTACGAAGGTCCGTGCTGTAAACCAGGCATAACTAGTCAGATAAAATTATGGAGTCAACTCGGCTTCAATGATTGCTACCCAGAGTTCCTTTCGGTCCAGTCGCGTAGGCTTGAGCTGGTCGACGACAACATTTTTTGAATTGACTGTAGATATAAATAGAGGATATTACATGGGCGCGAGGAGATACGAAATTTATCTTCGAGTGTTGAAAAGATCTCTCACGAGTGAGCGTAGCGAAAGAGTGAGAGATTTTCAACACGAGAAGATAAATTTCGTATCTCCAAGCGCCCATGTAATATTCTGTTTATTAAATAATTATCAATGAAGTATGTTTTGGCTTTTTCAGGCAATTCTTTCCGTGTATTTTTGAATAGCCATCGCAATGGTGTTATTTTCACACGTGAAAATAACATGTTATTTTCACGTGTGAAGATATCAATTTTTCGAAATAGAGAAAAATAGATATTTCATTGGTAATTATATAATAAAACAAAGTATCTTATTCTCAAGAGAATAACGTGTTCTGAAATGGGAAAGCATCAAGGCAAACCTCTACTTCTTTTCTTTCCCTCTGTGAAATGATATTTCAAAAATATATAAGTATTGTTTTTTATTCCTTCAGGATTCTTCTTGTGGTTTACAAGCCCAGCAGCCCTCAAGACCTTCACACGTAGATATCAGATTTGAAGCTTTAATGCCAAAGGTATGTGTCATGAGGTGCTCTAAAGTGCTGTCAAGCACAGACACACGGTGCAACATTATCTGCAGTATTTAGTCTACACATTTTACATTTTTGACGGGCAAGCAATAGTCCCCTTCACAGTTCCTTGCACCATCTTGAAAGGTAGCCGTGCCTTTGCATCAAAGTGAGGAGAACGGCGAGCTTGCAATGATAGAGACCTTGAACAATTATTCACATGTCTCTATCATTGCAAGCTCACCGTTCGTCTCGCTTCGATGCAAAGGCACGGCTACCTTTCAAGATGGCGCAGGGAACTATAAGAGGGACTATTCTCAAGTACAGTGTTCATACATATTGATGGTTTTCACGGCGGCCATGTTGGAGGGACTTAACAAAAGAATTGTCAATGAATTCTTTTGTTATATCCTCCAACATGGCCGCCTTGTCTATTGTTATTCAATTCTCTTGGGAATGGTTGAAAACCATCAATATTGAAAATTGCATAAACTCCAGGTGAATGTTTGTATGCAATTGTATTTACCTAATTCAATCCATCTCTTTTCTCATTATCCATTTAGATTGTTCTTCCCTGCCCCAGCGAGGCAGGCTGTCACTACCGCGAATCTCGACCCCAGGCCCTCCAGATCCAAATATCACAGGTAGCCCTTACAAACAGTCGCGTAGGCTCCAACTCCTCTCAAACAGAGCTCCTGATGCTCCTACAACAGTTCTCATCGTCCAAGCTATACACTGATTACAACAGGTTCCCTAATGAGTTCAGTGACGTCAGACCACTTAGTAACTTGGCCTGGTTGAAGGATTTTGGTGTGGTGGATGACCCTGTAAGGATTGAACGACTTATGAATGGATTGAGGACAGACACGACGGGGCCATGTAAACCCTCTCAGGTACGTTTAATATGAAACGCTGGTTGATAAAATGATAGGTTTTGCCTGAGACGATACTTTCAGTATTGATTCTATATAAAGTGAATAGTTGCATGGTGAAAAAGTCCTTCATTTGAGGGTTGCGTCTTTAAGTTATAAGGGTTTATAATTTAGACCGTGACGTCGTACTGGGAATTTGGTGTGTTTGTTTTAACCTGTAACACTAAACGCAGGCCATTATGAGACACCAAATTTACAATAAACATTTTGTAGACCATGAGTATGATGATAATGCTCATTAGGAATTTTTTCTTGAGCAAGTTAAAATTCGTATTTTCGATGAAGACCAGTATGACGACATATTGAAAACCCTCGGCCATGAAAGCGGATAGACCTAATCGGCTAACGTGTTGCTATGTACGTTACCACCAAATTCAAACCTTCTGGGACTTAGTTTCATTGTTCGTTATATTTTGGTTTCACAGTTGAATTCGTAGAGACAAACGCTTCTATTCCCAGAAGGTTTGAATTGGGTGGTAACGTACATAGCAACACGTTAGCCGATTAGGTCTATTTCGGTCTAGTGGCCTTGGTTCGTTTATTTTATACCTGAGACAAAGTTTTCGCTATCCCAACCTTCTGGCTAGTAAATAACCTCTATGTCAGTTTTTCATTGCATATCTTTCTCATCTAATATATATATATATCTTTCTCATCTGACATTTACTTGTGTTTGATTTGTCAGGTGTGGTGCTTGTCAGCAGACCAGTGTTGGGCGGATTTCATGGGCATCACCAACAACAAGAACCGTCCTATGCCCTTCATCGAAGCTATACCCCTACGACTATGGGTATGTACCCCTTTACCTAAAAACACCCCAGAAATAACCCCTCCTAGCCCCACCCAGTCTGACGACGAAGACCCTCGAAGAATACCACAGCCTTCGTCAGTGGCTTCGTCTCCCGGATGTGTGCGTTCACACCTACAAACCTCGGCAGCAATCCATATATCCAACTCAAGCCCTAACCTTAAGCACGGGTCTAAAGACGTGAACACTCTAGGCAATCGCATCAATGATATAAAACCAAAGAAAGAACTTGGTATAAGTCCACCAGGTACCAGCTCGCTTCCCGGTTCTCCGAGATCGAGGGATGTTGGGTTCGACCCCCTGACGGACATGAAGAGAGGGAGACATGAAAATGATTTCATCATTGGCAAGTCTTTTCCGGTGGCTAGTCTGTCAAAGAACTCGCAGTCGCTAAGTTCTTTGAGCCAGGAAGAGTTAAACGGAGGGGTCGATTCATCTTCACACGGTAGTGACACCAGGAATAGTGACGGAGGGCTAGATCAATCCATCCCTGTTGCGATTACTAATAATAAAATAGACACTACTATCTCGGGGAACGAAAATCCGAAGGACTCGTCTCGGGTTACCAATAAAGGACCAGGCTCGTCGGAGAACTTCCCTCATGGGGGCTCCAACACAACTAATGAAGATGCTCCTAATTTACGCAAGGGATTTGGGTCGTACTCCAGCAATGAAGAAGAAAACTTAAGTGATTACCCAATGGACTTGCCAAAAGTAGCAGACTTGAGTGCCCTAGCCATCATCCCCGCGCACTTTACAGTTCAATTTGATCATTTCCAATATATCTTTTTACTACGGCTCCAAGAATCTTTGGTGAAGATGCAAGAGGAGCTCAGTGCCGAGGCACGGAGGCACCTCAGTGAATCGACCAGTACCTCGGATGTTCCCTCTGGGAACGTCACCTTCTCGCTGCTCGCTAAAAGGGGTGAAGTTAGTTTAATACTTCCTCCCGGCCCCGAGTTGTCCAACAGTAGAGGTAACAGTAGTGCGAGCAGTTATCTAGACCCGGGGTTTGTGTCTGACGGAGAGCCTGCGTTACCCGATGTAGCAACCGATGGGCTGGACACTAGAACAGATATAATCTCTCCATCACCCAAAGACGAACAGAACATCCCTCCGTTAAATATACAGTCCAAGTCATCCCGTGCAGATTTACTTCCGTTCTCTAATGGGACTTCCGGCACCGGTCAGATAGGGCGTTGCAGCACCTCTCCTATGGGTGACCCAAGTGGCTGGTCACAAGATGGTGATAAGGTTGTGACTAAAGCACGACGAGGTAGCGATGCTAGTACTAGTAGTAGTCTGCTTGGAACAAGCGTCGAGTCTAGTGCGAGAAGCAGTGCTAGGAGTATGAGATCAAGTCGGATTGTTTCTATATTCACAGCAGAAGGGACTGATCTTCACTTGGGTATCCAGATGGAAGGAGATGACACCACGGTCAAGGTTACACTACAAGATCTTCAAGTCGACGAGAAAGGGAACCACATCTTCGAGAAGTATTTAAACCAGAAGTCCTTCAAAGCTCCACACGAGAGCTCCACCATAGTGCCACACCCACTCCCCACCTCTCCCCCCTCGGTGAGCGTCCGAGCAGAGTTTGGGCCTGGGGCCGAGCGTAATACACCGTCCGCTGGGGAGCGTGGATTTGCGCATGTGCAGTTGGCCAACATGGCTTTGTCGTTATCAATGAGTAACATGGAGAGTTTGAGTGAGTGTTTCGATGACGAGATCCTGTATCCCAAAATGCCCTTCTACGTAGAGTTGAAGTCTTCGAGTCTTTGTGTCCGTGACGACAAGCCACCAAGACTGCTTTCCGCTCCCCCACCCCTCCCCCTGAACGTCAACCTTGAAAACATCTCGATCTTTAGGAACCAAGAGGAAGTTATTCACATCAAAGCCTTGAATCCTCCCCCCGGAATTAGCGGCGCTGGTGGAAGTACAACAGAAGTCGAGGAGCCATTCCGGGGGGACTTGAGTCGGTCTCTGTCGCGCCTGTCACGCACTACCAGCGATCTGAGTCTTGCGGAGTCCATCTCGTCACGTTCAGATAACGACAGTGAACGAGAGTGTATAAAGGCACAGCTGTCGGTATCCCGAGCGGCATTGCACGCCGTGCAAGATGAGCGTCAGGCGTTACTCAAGACTATAGAGCGACTACAGTACGAGCTGGCGATGTCGAACCGAGAGCAAGATCGTCTACAAGCCAAGGTCATTGCTTATCAATCTGGAGGTACGGCAGCTAGGAGAAAGACGCACCAATAAATCGGAAAAAGTTCTGTATTCCGTCGGAAACCCCGCACGAATTTAATCAACCGCTTGTCTCGCTGTGTATTGAGTTGCTCGCGAGTAGATCGGAAAGAAATCGGTATTCGTTCGGAAACATCCCGTATGCATGTATTTGGCATTTTGTCTCGCTGTATTGAGTTGTGCGCGAGTAGATCAGAAACAAATCGGTATTCGCTCGGAAACATATGCATGTGATCGGCATCTTGTTCCACTGGTCGTCTCACTGTGTATTGAGTTAGCGTTCAAAAAGATCGGAATCAAATCGGTATTCCCTCGGAAACATCTCGTATGCATTTAATAACCAGCTTCTCTCGCCGTGTATTGAGTTAGCGTTCAAAAAGATTGGAAACAAATCGGTATTCGCTCGGAAACATCCCGCATGCATTTAATCAACAGCTTCTCTCGCTGTGCTTTGATTTAGAGCTTAGGTAGATCGGAAACGAATCGATATATAATCGTTGCTTAGAAAGACATTCGTAAGTAGATCGGCGACTCTTCGGCATCAGATCTGATTTCATTCTGACAAAAATCATGAGTGTATTTCTTTTGGTAAGTCGACAAAATACGTTTCGTAAAGGTCCCGTCGTTTTATTTGAGAAGATATTTTAATATTAGGGAAAAAAATTCATTTTGAAATCTTATGCTTAAATGAAACGATAGACGAAGTATTCAAAATTCGAAAATTACCTCATTTAGAGTTTAGGTCCATATAAAGTCCGTGTCTGTCTGTCCTGCAAGTGTACTTATCCTATGGAGAAGCGTGATAGAGTACAAACACTAAAAGTGTGCAACATAGATATCACTAAAATAGAGGATATAACACGGGCGCGCGGAGATGTGTTGAAAAGAGCTCAAAACGAGAGATTTTCAACACGAGAAGGTAAATTTCGTATCTCCAAGCGCCCATGTAATATTCTGTTTATCATATATTTATCCATAAAATCAACTTAACAAGCTTTTTATTATTATGAAAAGTTTTTATTCTTAAACTAATAGCTTGAATACACATGCTAACGATATTTTCACATGTGAAAATAACATGTTATTTTCACATGTGAAAATATCAGTTTTACGAAAAGGAGAAATATAGGTATTCTATGGATAAATATGTGAAAAATAGTTTTATCTTATACTAATTCTATTGTTTTCTTCTGTTTGATTAGTGCTATTTACTGCTAAATAGTGATAACTATTGCACACATTTAGTGTTTGTACTCTATAAGCTGTCCTTATCCTGCTCCTTTTATCTTTTTTATCTTTCCTTGAGTATTATTTCTTTC